CTCCCTTCATTTTGTCTGCTTCCTTTCCATCTCCTATTTGTCTGTATCTCTCCTCTCCCTCATGGCACACTCGCCTGAGTCTCTCAGTCTCCCAGTCTCTTGGATGGGAAAGAGGACAGGAGGGTGGGGGAAGTAAAATTGTTGTTGCTGGGGGCTCATTAGGTGGAGATTGGTTTTTAATCAGCACCATGGAAATGATGATGCAAGAACTGAGATGCCACCTGATCCCCTGCCCTCCCAACCCCCCTTCTCAAGCCTCCTTTCCCCTCTAGCTCAGCCCATCTGTTGGTGCCTGGGCACCTGTCTGGGCCTGCCCAGGTGGGAGTTGGCACCTCACCTCCCAGACCTGGGGTGGAAAGGGGTGGGGGAGTTTGGGGAGGAATTGCAGGACTTCCTTATGGAATGCCTTACCCAGAAAAGGTTATCAGCAAGGGAAATGGCAAATGCCTCCTACAGCCTAAACATGGGATGTGGTCCTACTAAGGTCTGGGCCTGTCACTTGCATTATCTCACTTAATCTCCATGGCAACCTAAGAAGGAGCTATAATTAACTTCATTTTAAAGAAAAGGACAGTTGAGGCTCAAGATGTTACGTTACTTGTTGGAGGTCACGCAACCGACAGGGCTTTCTTCACTGTAACACACTGTCTCTAGATTCCTCCCAGCCATGGTTTGTTCTAGATACTCACAAAGATTCAATGAAAACATTGAACAACTTAAGATATTGACCCCTAGCCCATTGCTTCTCTGTACTTCCCTTGCTCTCTGTTCCTGCCACCCTGCAACACACACACACACACACACACACACATGCACGCACGCACACGCACATGAACACACAGGCTGGAGGCAGCTGAGCTATTGATATAAACTTAATCAATGCCTATTTGCATATAATTTTGTATCTAGTTTTCTTATTGCTTATTAGATGCCCCAGCATACGTGAAGCCTGCCTGGGCTGCCCTGCCCTCCTACCCCAGTGTACTTCACATGCTGGTTTTTCTTTTATCCTCTGTTTTGCTCCTTTTGGCCTTGACTCCTCCTAAGAGTCCCTAATTCCCAGTGAGTCAGGTTGGGCTAGGCAGCATAGAAAAACTCCTTATGGGATCTGTGTCAGGAATCTGATCCTGCTTCCCCAGAGGAGGGAGTAGGTGGGAGAACAGGGGGCTGGAATATGAAGGTATGGGTGATTGAGTCCCATGATGATGAGGGCAGGAGCCTGAAGGGTAGCCACAGGCAGTGTGGTCAGGGGCCGTTGGTACCAGCTTTATGAAGGGGGAAAGCTTGGGGAGGGCAAGGACTCTTGGGTTCTTTTCTGTATCTTAGTGCTGTCTACTTGTGCTTTTCTAGATTTCCCTGTTAGTACCTTGCAGAGCCTTCTTCCCAAGGAAAAAGGGACATGGGAAAGAGCTGTCAAAGTCATGCTGGGACTTAAAATGGGACTGTGGCACTAAAATTGAGCTTGCTGGGGGTCTCTGTCCCTCCTGCCTCTGCTGTGGGAGACTCAGGGGTTCATCTGTGATCCTGCCCTGGCTCTCGCCCCAGCCCCACCCCTTCCCCAGCTCTCCATTTCTTGCTTATGAAATATGCATGGAGAACAGATGTCCCTGCTCCCCTACTGCCTGCCCCCCCAGGGCCAGCCCCCGCCCCCAGCTCCTGGGGTTGGGGGGAGTTCCCAAGTCTGTCTGCCAATGGCAGCCTGGCCTGCCTGTTTAATATTGATGAGGGGGGAGCCTGGGCCAGCCAATGGAGAACTGAGGGTGTGTATGCATCTCCACATATATACACATAGGGCTGGGCCAGCCCAGGTGTGTATGTGTCTGTGAGTGTGTGTGCCTGTGTGTGTGAGTACTGGTGACTCAGTACCTGGCCAAGCCCACCCCTTCCGCCTGAGTCCTATATCTCCACCATGTATACCCTTCTCATCTGCCCTGGAGCCTGTACAGCCACGCCACGCTGCCCCCGAGAGCTCTAGAAATCTGGTCACTAACTTTGCAGATGGATGAGCTCTGAGCAACCAGAAGAGACTGGGGCTGTCAACGCTGCCCCTGTCCTGCCAGCTTGGATCCCCTCACAGGGTCCTCCTAGGTAAAGGGGGGACCATGGGCTGGGGGGGGGCGTCCCTCCCACTCTGGCTCAAGTCCCCTCCCAGAGCCTCCCTCTTCTTCTCTCTCTAGTGTGCTGTGTCTCTCTGCCCTGCACCACCCTCTTACCTACTTCTTCCCTTTGACTCTGTGCCTACCTATTCTCATTCGGGTTGAGGACGGCAGAAGTGGGGCAGGAAGTTTTATCCTGGATGCTTGGAATTGCTGCTCTCCCTGGTCCTCGGAGCCTGGAACTTTGAGACCAGAAGTGGATTTTGGGGTGAGGACTTGATGGGTAAATAGAAGCTGCTGCCAGGACTGGAGCTGGAAAGGACAGTGGGGCCAGGTGGAGATGGGGAAGTAGTCAGGTTGTGAGCAGACAGAGGGGAAGGGAGGGCATGGCAAAGCGATCAGGGATACAGGGGCACGGGGACTGGCCAGAGAGAATCAGGCTGTGAGAGATGTGTTGAGAACTCCACAGCCAGATTCCTGAAGCATGGGGATGGGGAGTTAGGGAACTGAACATGTACCAGGAGGTGCGGACTGTGGGGCTTCCCACACTATTGCCATCCCTTCTTGTTCCTCTGGATCCCAGACTATAGAGTGTGTTCTAAATTTCAAGACTAACCACCTTCTGTTTTGTGTTATGGTTGTGTTGTACCTACCAGTCAAATGTTGATGTCCCCCCTCCCCCAGAGCTTAGTAACTATTTGTCAACCACAATTGAGTCTGCCTTCTGTGCTGTGGGGTGAGGCAAGCTTGGGGGTCCCTGTGGGGGTGTCTTTCAGGCAGGAGAACCAAGGCTGATGAAGAAGGGGTGATGCTGACTATGAGGGAGCCTTACTGCTTCTGCTTCTAGTTGTTAAGTCCAGCTGAGCTCACAGTGAGTTCCTGCTTAACAGCCCCTAAAGCAGAGCCCTTTCCCTGGCCTTCCAGGCCATGTTCCTGCTGCCTTGCCCTGACATCCTTTGATCCCTGGAACAAGTAAACCTTAGCCAAGCTCCAGAATGGTGGCCCCAAGAAGTTTTCCACATCCTTCTCTATGGGCTGCATCTGAACTGACTTTGGGCTGTGGGAGGGTGCCAAGTAGAAAGCTGTTTATATTCCCTTTCTCCAATCTTCCTTTCAGAGTAAGGCCAGAGGAAGGTCTGAGGTTATTGACTTTAGGGCTACAGGAAAGAGCTGGTCCTGAGCAGAGGAATCACAGCCAGAGGAGATACCTTCCCTTGACTCTAGTGAACAGGCTGGTAGGATCTGGTGTCTGCAGTGGTCATGTTTGGGAGTGAGGTGTGGGCTGGGAGTCACTGAGCTGGGGCAGCTGTGCTGAGCTCCATATGTCTCAGTCCACTCTACAATGGGCAATCTGAGCGCTTATCCCTGCTTTCTCGCCACCCTCATCCCCACCCCCACCCCACCCCACCCCCACACAAGGATGGAGATTGGCCATGGGGGGACCAGATCACAGTGCCAAGACTTGCAGTTCTCCCCTCACTAGTAAAAAGTTTAGAGTCACAGCCAAGCTCTCTTGGAGCTATGGCTTCATGTTGCTCAGCACTTTTTCTTTTTCTGTTATTATTTCTTTAAAAAAATTTATTGTGGTAAAAAACACAACATAAAATTTACCATTTTAAATGTGCAGTTTGGTAGTGTTACATACATTCACATTGCTGTGAAACAGATGTCCAGAACTTTCATCTTGCATCCATGGGACAGTAGCTCCCCTTTCTGCCTCCCCCAGCTCCTGGTAACCACCATTCTACTTTCTGTTTTTGTGAAATTGACTAATTATATACCTTATATAAGTGGAATCATACAATATGTCTTTTTGTGACTGGCTTATTTCATTTAGCAAAATTTCTCAAGATTCATCTATGTGGTTTCTTATCCATTTATCTGCAAATGGATGTTTGGGTTGTTCCCAGATCTTGGTAATTATGAATAACACTGCAACAAACATTGGATAGTAGATACCTTCCTCTTCAAGATCCTGATTTCAATTCTTTTTTTTTTTCTGATTTCAATTATTTTGGTATAATATCTATACTATTTTCAATAGTGGTTGCACCATTTTACAATCCAACTAACGGTACAAGTGTCCAAATTTCTCCATATTCTCAACACTTGTTATTTTCTGTGTTTTTGATAGCATCCATCCTAATGGGTGGGAAGTGATATCTCATTGTTGTTTTGATTTGCATTTCTCTAATGATTAATCATGTTGATTTTCTTTTCATATATTTGTTCGCCATTTGTATATTATCTTTAGAGAATGTTTATTCGAGTCCTTTGCCCATGAAGTTACTTTTAATGAAGTTACTTGATCTTGTGTTGTTGAGGAGCAGTTCTTTATGCTTTTCTGGACTTTAACCCTTTATCAAAGAGATGATTTTTTTCAAAAATATTTTCTCTCATTCTGTAGGTTGTCTTGTTATTCTGTTGACTGTGGCCTTTGATGCATGAAAATTTTTAATTTTGATGTAGTCCTTTTTGTTGCCTGTGCTTTTGGTGTCATATCTAAGAACTCATTGCCAAGTCCAATGTCATGAAACTTTCCCCTGCTGTTTTCTTCTAGAAGCTATATAGTTTTAGGTCTTACATTTAGATATTTAACCCTCTTGCTTGGTTTTATCCTGTGCTATGTCCTCTTCATCACTTCTTCTCCTTCCCTGTAACTCATTTTCTGGACTCTCTTCCTTCTTACTGTCTTTTCTCTCACTTCTTTACAACGTGTCCACCTGCCTATCACTCCTGCTGCTCCCTCCCTCACTCCTCCCCTGTTTCTGTCCTTCTCTCACACTTACAATACCTTCCGCCTCCAAGTCCATCTCAAACCTTCCTTATGCCCTCCTCATCTCTGAGTTGTCCTGTCCTTTCTTCCTCCCTATCAGTTTCCTCTTCTCTCTTTCAGGCTCCCAACTGGAACCCTGACCATGGAACCCTGAAGTGGTTCTGATTTCTCCAGCTCAGTGGCAGACCCCACCACCCCAGGACCTTCCTGCCTCTCCCACAACCAGAATTCAGGCTCCCAGAGGGAGGAGGTGGGGAGGGGATCCTGATCTCACAGGGCAGGGGGCGTCCATCATGATGCTCAACTCAGACACCATGGAGCTGGACCTGCCTCCCACACACTCGGAGCCGGAGTCAGGCTTCAGCGACTGTGGGGGCGGGGTGGGCCCCGACCGGGCTGGGCCCAGAGGTCCAGAAGGGGGCCAGACCCGGGGCCTGGAGCCGGGAGAGCCTGGCAGGAAAGACCTGCAGCACTTGAGTCGGGAGGAACGGCGGCGCAGGCGCCGGGCTACGGCCAAGTACCGCACAGCTCACGCCACGCGGGAGAGAATCCGTGTGGAGGCCTTCAACCTGGCCTTCGCGGAGCTGCGCAAGCTGCTGCCCACGCTGCCCCCGGACAAGAAGCTCTCCAAAATTGAGATCCTGCGTCTGGCCATCTGCTACATTTCCTACTTGAACCACGTGCTGGACGTCTGAGGGCGGCCTGGATGCCACCCCCTTCTGGGCCTGGCTAGGTCCCCCCTCATCGCCCACTGGCTACGACAGCCATCTCTTCTTCCCTGAGCCCTATACCCTGGCATGGAGTCCCCGAGGCTCCTGGCCCAGAAACGGTGCCCCACTCCCAGCTGGTTGTGAAGGCAGCTTTCTATCACCAACCCAGGCATCCCACGGCTGTCCTCATGGGCACCTTCTGCAGTTTGTGGTTGGGCCCGGCTGTTAGAATTGTCTGCTTGGGAGGTCGGTACACAGCCCTTGCTGGATTTACTAAGCCCGTCACATGTGGGTGTCCCCTAGCTCTCTCGTGGGCTGCTGTCCCGTCTACCCCCACATCCAATTTGTCAGAGACCCAGACATACACTCCCATCTACTTTCCACCCTGTTGCAGCTTCTCCTGCCCATGGCAGGGAAGGGGCATCAGAACAGGAAGGGGGCAGGCTGGGCTTAGAGTGAAGTGGGCTTCTTCCTCAGAGATTTCAGTCTAGTTTGGCAGAAGGGCCTGGGGACCTGTGAGGTGAATCTCAGTAGCTGAAATTAGGGAATAAGTCTTCCTGTTTTCTATCTTGTTCCTGAGGATGCAGACCTTGGATCTTACTCTGTAGTGAGTGCCTTGTCCTCTCTGAGCTATTTGGCCCCCATCTGTGTACCCTCCTGCTTCTACAGTCCCAATTTCCTCCCTGGGTGCAGAGCTAGGGAAAAGGAAACCTAAATCCTGGGGTAGGGGATGATGTCCCCAAACTCATCCCTGGAAATGGGTGGGCCAGATCTCATGCCTACTTCCTCCATCCCAGCCTACCACGAGAAGGTGAAAGCCCACACCAGCTCCTCCCTTAGATGCAGGCAGTGCTCCATCATTGCCCCCTGGGAACATGCAGCTCTACTAGTCCTAGGGTCTGTTTATTACTTTTTTCTCCTCCTCCTTAAGCTGGCTTCAGCAATGGAAGAGACCCCCGCCTACCCCACCTCCAGGCTTTCTGCCCCCACCACCCACATAGCTGAGCCCAAACCTGCTCACTGGAGCCTCAGGTCAGCAGTAGAACAAGGGCCCTGGGACCCATGTAGAAGAAAGGAGCTCACTGCACTTACCATGCTCCTCCTCCCTCACACCAAACTCCTAGCTCTACAATGATATTTATTTATGTATTTATCTATTTATTTACTTATTTATTTATAAACATTACTATTTATTGCCCAGTTGTGCACTTTGGGGTAGGGCGAGGGGTTCCTGGAAGCCCGAGCCAGGCCTTTCTTTCTTCCTCCCCGATTACTCCTTTCCCTTTTGTGCTCCTTCTACAACTCCAGATGTGTGTAGGGATCCCCTTTGCTGACAACATTCATATCTCTTCCTCAGATCCATCTGTCCTGACACCCTATTCCTCTGGGATGGTTCCCTTTCCCCAGTTCCAGGGCTCCCAGTTCCTTCCTCAGCTCCCTCCATTCCAGACAATTCCACCCTGTCCCACCTGCCTCTTTTCTCTCACCAGCCCTCTCCGATGATCCTCACTTCTTCCTAGTACCTCCAAGAGTGGGCCTTAGGGGTCTGTGTCATATGTCTTCTGTATGATTCCCTCCTGTTGCATTTCTGATCTCATACAAAAAAAAAGAAAAATTAAAGTGACCTCATTCTAGCACCAGGTATGGCTTGGATCATTTGACTAGGTTGGGAAGGTGTCCTGCAGATTATGGTAGGGAGAGCACTAAGGGTTCTAGGCCTTGATGGCTCTTCTGATGGGATCATGAGAGTTCAGTCTGGTGAGTAAATGAAGACAGAAAGCAAAAGGGGTCACAGAGTAAAGAGGTACAGAGGAAGGTGTAACACGCAGGTCCCAGGTCTCCCCACCTAAAGTATCTTGTACCCCCATCTTGGCATTCATGGGGTGACACTTTCTGATCTCTCTGATGTGCTTCTGCTTCTACTCTCGACGGGCCTGAGAAGGAGCTGAGTGTCCCCGCAGAACCTAAGTTAAACATGTGTCTGTGGGTCCATGCTCCTGGGAAAAGCCATGGTATGAATCTGCCTTCCCCATTATTACTTCTAAGCTGGATCAAAATTCCTTGCAATCCAAGTTCTTGACTAATTTTGTGATCCCCAGCCTGAGAATACTGGGGAGAACACGATGGAGGACCTAGGACTAAGAGAATAATAAGGAAAGGGACAAAAAGGAGTGCTGAAGGAATATCAAAGGAATCCTGAAAGGCACCTAAAATCAATTTATAGATGAGGAAATCAAAGCCCAGAGAGGAGGGCTTTGCCCAAGGTCACACATGTAGTTGTGGGCAGAGATAAAATTTAAATCCAGGTCCTATAGCTTCTATACTGCTAAGGCCTTTCTGCCTTCCTGAAATGACCTGGCCTAATAGATGGCACCTTATGGACCCCACAGTTTAACAAAACATTGATAAACTAGAATATTTAGAATTGTGTGACCAAGAAGGCTAAAGGCCTGAGGCTATTTCATAGAAGGAATAGTTGAAAAATTGAGGATATGTGTTTTTACAATAGTAGATTTAGGGACAACATGCTATCCCTCTTTAAATACTGAAAGAAGAAACAAAAAATGACATTCTGTGTGTTCCCAGGAGTCAGAACCAGACCAGTAGGTAGAAGTTATAGGAAGCAGATTTTAAGCACAAAGAAAAACTTTTCAAGACTTGGAGCTGTCCCACAAGGGAATGGCCAGCTTCAAGTAGGAGGGGTCCAAGTAGACAAGCACTGGTACCATAGAGCACATTCCTGCCTAGGTGGTCTTCAAGATCCTTTTCAAACTTGAGGTCATCTGAGAAGGCTGAACGCAGATAGTGGGAGGGAAATTCAGTTTCTGAAAGATGCTATTTTCATCTGCAACAAGCACAGAACGAATGATGTCAGCAGCAAGAAGGATTTGAATTAGACTTAAGGAGGAGAGTTGATATCTTCCCATCACCACCCCCCACCCCCTGAGTTAGAGTGAAATGTGCTCTGCCCAGAACATGACAAGACAGAGGGCTGAACTGAGGCTAGCGAGAATCAGAGGACTACATGGGGCAAGAGTGGGAAGAGAGTACAGAAAGCATTGAATCTGACACCTTTGTTTTAAGGGCAAGTTACCACTGTCCACAAGGGTGATGGGACTCACACATGATGGTGGAATGGGACTAGAACCTGTGTCTTCCATTCCTGGCCCTGAGTTCTTTTGCCTCTCCCTGTGCAGCAGCACAGCCTCAAGCTCCCTGCCCCCTTCACTTTTCACTTTGCCAGGCTGGAAGGCAGAAGGGGTTATTAGGCCCCCTCTCCAGGGATCCCTGAGGACATGGGGGTGGTAACAGGGGGCAGCTGCAGCTGTTCTTGTGCTAGCTCCAAATTTCTTCAGATAATCAATTGGCTTCGCTATTGCTGGGCTCTGAAGGACAGGCGAGGAAGGAGGTGGGAAGTGAAAGGGGGAAGGGACAGGGCACAAGGAGAGGAGACTGTTGGGAAGATAAAGTCCCAAGGCCAAGGGATGAGGGGAAAGAGAGAGCTCCAGGGCTAACAGACACAGAGGACAGAGGAAGGGAAGGCTAGAAGATCACGGCATCTTGGGGCCCTCTTTCATATCCTCCAAAACCCAGCAAGTATGCTAGTGGAGTGAGAGAGGGGAAGTTTGGGGTCCCAGGCCAGGGGGGCTCTGGCACTTCACCCCTCCCTTCTTCCTCCACTCCCTTCTCATCAGGCCATGCCCCTTCCAGCTGTCCATGCCCTATTCCATCCTTAGTTACTATAGGCCTTAACCCTCTAGGCTTCTCTGTCATAATTGCTCCCCTCTGCTCTCTTTCTCAGCAAACTCCTCCCCATGCAGGAGCAAACAGCATGGCCCCTGGGGTTTGAAAGAGGTGGTGGTGGTGGGGGAGGAGGGACTCTTAGCCACTCCTCCTCTTCTGCTACACACACACACACACACACACACACACACACACACTTTGTGTAGGCTGCCAGGCAGATGGCCCCTTTGTGCCCACACAATGGAGGCCCTGCCCATGCCCTCTTCGTTGGTTCACCCAGCTTCTCTATCCCCAGTCCGGTGTCTGCCTTCTTTGCCTTCTCTTACTCTGTATGGAAGGCTCCTTTTACACTCCCTTCCTTTATCATTCTGCCTCTTTCCCATGTCCTTTCCTGAGCTCTTGAAATCTGACTGTGTGGGGATTGTGAGCAGGAGAAAGAAACTGACAGGAGGGTCACAGTCCTTGATTGCTACTTGGGGGAGAGAAGAACACAAGCACAGAGGGAATAGGGAGAAGGGAGCCAGTGTGGCTGGTGGCTTGTGCGCGGGCAGCAGCAGCAGCAGTAGCAGCAACAGCAACATTGGGCTAAAGGGGTGAGAAAGTGCACACCTGGCAGCTAGAGCACCTGTGTGCGTGTGGGCTCCATACTTAACCTTTCCTCTTTGTGCCACAATGAGCAAATCACATGGCTTCCCTGGAACTCAGCTTCCTCATCTGTAAACTGAGAAAGATCATAAGACCTTTCTCACGGGGTGTTAGGAGGATTAAATGAACTCATCCTCGTGGTGCTCAGCACAGTAAGTGCTCACCACATGGTATCTCAGGGGCAGGAAGTAGCAGGGCCAATGCGTACTGTTGTATATCTTGTGCACTGTACAAGGTGCTAGGCCAGGGCAGTGAAGAGGCCTGACATCTAGCCTCTGCTGTGCCACACCAGTTGTTCACCAGTGAGGATGAATGCAACCGCTGAGAGGTCACCCTGGAATCAAATCCCTCATGTGGAGTCCTGAGCATCAGTCACAAGTCCAACGGAAAAGTCATGAGTCCTGACCACCTTGGAAACCAAGATAGAATGGGAGGAGACAAGAGGCTATGGGAACACCAGAAGAGAAGATCCCTTAGTTCAGTGTTCTCTCGAAAGTTAGGAAGAGCTGAACTATGAAATCTGCTAAACTGAGGACGGACATACTACAGCTGAGGAGACACACTGCAACTGAGAAGAGGGGTGCTGGAAAAACAGAAAAGGAGGGAGACCTGGGTCTGGGATGTGATTCAAAATTTGTGTGGGTTTAGGGACGTCTGATCCTTGCTCCACCTCCATTCCCTCCCCTAAACCTGGTCTGATTATTGCTTGTTGAACACTGCCCTCTCCTGGCCACACTCAGAGACTTTCTCACTCTTCCCCCTTTCTGGCTAGTAGCTGCTAATAAACTGAAGGGAAGACCAGACTGGGGACAGAGGGAGAAAAAGATGTGGGGGAATTCTGCCATCCGGAGTTCTTGTTAAGGTTTCTTTATGGTTAATGAGGGTTGATTGCTGACTAGGGATAGAGACCAGAATTCATAGGTGTTCATTTACATACGTTAATGGTCTATAATTTTCAGATCAATTTTTCCCCCCTGCCTTTGTCCATTTAATTTGTTTTGTGTGTATGTGTGAGTTGTGTGTGGGTTCTGTTTTTGGAGATGTTTGCCTGCTTCTATGGTTGTCGTGTGTGTGTACATCAATGTGTTGTTTTTGTGTCCTTTCAAAAAAAATTCACCTGAAGATATGTTTTATTGATATTTAGAGAGAGAGAGAGGAAGGGAGGGTGGAGAGAGAGAGAGAGAAAGAGAGAGACATTTGTATGAGAGAGAAACATAGATTGGTTGCCTCCCATATGCAGCCGACCTGAGGCTGAACCCAAAAACTAGATATGTGTCCTGACTGGGATCAAACTTACAACCTTTCGGTGTACAGGACAACGTTCCAACCACCTGAGTCACTCGACCATGATGTGTCCCCTTTTTTATATAAGAATCTGAGTGACAGCTGTCAGGCTGAAAGCTGTTTTGTTTCTTCTCCCCCTAGAAAGCCCTTTCCTTTTCTCTAGGTTTTACTTCTGCCTTCCAGCTCCATCAATAGCAGGGCTATTTACAAGTCACACTCTTTGGTTGGCCCCTGCCCCACTTTGGACATCCTAAGCTCAGAGACTTGCTTTGCCCTGACCTGGGACTTTTGGACCTCCCCAGAAGCGCCTTTTTTTCCCA